AACTTGGCACGAATTTTCACCTAAAGTGAAATTCAAAAATTTTCTTTATTATCACTAGGATAATTCTAGAAAATCTTTAATCCGCTGGGGATTTTATAATGAAAACTTGTTATTCTTGTTGAAAAAGAATTAACAAGTTCATTGGGGGGGTTGACTGTTAGAGGTGTTATGTTAACATAACAATATTTTATGGACCTATCGTTCTATTGAAGAGAGTCGATAAGTTGATTTGATCGTCAGAGGTGTGGTGTTAACTTGACAGGTTTGTGGACCTATCGCTCCATTGAAGGGAGTCGATAAATGGATTTTGTCAGAGGTGTAGTGTTAACGTGACAGGATTTGTGTTGCGATTGGAGCAACTTTGGGGACTTATCATCCTATTGATGAGGATTGATAAGTGGGTTGTCAGAGGAGTATTGTTAACGTGACAAGATTTATGTTGCGATTGGAGCAACTTTTGGGACTTATCATCCTATTGATGAGGATTGATAAGTGGGTTTTGTCAGAGGTGTAGTGTTAACGTGGCAAGATTTGTGTTGCGATTGGAGCAACTTTGAGGACTTATCATCCTATTGACGAGGATTGATAAGTGGGTTGTCAGAGGTGTATTGTTAACGTGACAGGATTTGTGTTGCGATTGGAGCAACTTTAAGGACTTATCATCCTATTGACGAGGATTGATAAGTGGGTTGTCAGAGGTGTATTGTTAACGTGACAAGTTGGGAGTGATGCAAATTGAATGCATACTCTGTGGGGATAATGATCGTCAGAAGTGTAGTGTTAACTTGACGATGTGAAAGATTCGTTACTCTTAATCCAATGGATTCCAAGTAATCAACCCCCAGTCTTGATTAAGACTTAGCAGGGGAATAAAAAGAGGTAGATAAGGCACATCACCTAGTGTGGTACTATCCATGAAGTCGGAATAGAGTCACATCACCAGGTAGGCCATTATCTGATGAGTTTGACTATCAGAGGTAACTGTTAACGTGATAGTTGTTGGACCCACCATCCTACTGAAGAGGATTGACTTCAGTGGCCGCAGTATCTTTCCCTTCTGACTGGGAAGAGTGAGCCTGGTCCAGTTGCTCAGGAGAAGATTGGGCTTGGTCTGATTGCTCGGGCTGATCCTGCCTACTTGGTTCTTCAGCTTTGATCCTGGCAATGATTTTTTGAGCCTGCTCGCCTTGAGAGATTAGTTGCCTCCAAGAACAGCATTCTACAACTCCTATTCGGGTTAGGAGGTTGGTTTGCAAGTTGTGTCGACAGGTCTGCACTAGGGTAGACTGTGTCATACCTGTCGGACATCGCAGAGCCATATTTCGAAACCTTTTGACGAAGGCTTTGACAGACTCCCTCTTCTTCTGCTTGGTGGCGAGAAGGGTATGAATGGAGACTTCTGTATCATCTTCAAAGAATCTTGACAGGAAGAGTCTCTCTAGATCCGCCCACTTTTGGATACAGCCCGCAGGCAGTTTCCTGAACCATTCGAAGGCAATTCCCTTGAGGGTGCCAATGAACAATCGAACCAGTATGGCATCGTTTGATATTACATTTCCAGTCTGTGACTTGAAATGATAAATATGTTGGTTCGGTGATCCCGTGCCGTCAAAAGTTTGTAGCGTCGGGACCTCGAACGTTGGAGGATAAGGGGCTGCATCCCATTCGGCAGGATATGGTCTGATAACTCCCTCATCTTGGAGCTCGCTTTTATTAGCAATGGCTTTGAGGCAGGCTTCCAATTCTTTCATTTTGGCAGACTGAAGATTCTGCTCGTTCTCAGTCTCTCTTCCTTCATCAGAAGAAGATTCCAGGCTGTGGGCTTCTTGGTCAGAAGGCTGTGGGCTTCTTGGTCAGAAGCCGCATCATCAACTACTTTTCCCTTTCCTTTGCTTGTGTGAGGTCGGGATGAAGATGCTTTTCCTCTCCGGGAAGATTCTTGCCTAAGCGGCGAATCTGTCTCCTGAGATTTGGCCTTGTCTGCGACGATTTGAGTAAACATAGCCATGAGTTCATTGATGGCCTCCTGCTGAGATTAGAGCATGACCTCCTGTTCATCAAGTCTCTTTGAAAGGTCTTCAGAATGTTCTGCCATGTGGGCGAAGCTCTCATGCCCAACGAAAGAGCTTGATGATTGGGACTCCGCAATAGCTGAGTGTTCGTCATCGGAATTAGTTCCTCTGGCTAAACTCCGATAGTTGACAGGGGGAATGGCTCCTGTTCGCGTCCGAGTGCGTTGGTAGATTCCTTCAAACTCGTTAGCGATTTCTCTGACGCTTTGGTAGATTCCTTCAAACTCGTTAGTGATTTCTCTGACGCTTGGAGAATGATCTGTCTCTGACTCGTCAAAACTAAAGGTTGATGATCTCCCTCTACCAACCATGTTGGAAGTGACTCCAAGGTATTCATCCTCTAAAGTCTTCTTCCTGTGAGGATGTCGTCGATTATTGAGCAAAACGACATTCGTCGGTCGGTTGAACATCGACAGCAATTCCCGCAAGTCAGAGACTTGGGATGAACCTCTCACGGAGCGTGAGGGTAAAGATGGAACCCCCTGTCCGTTAAAGGATGGGACTGGTTCTTGGTAAACATGAATTTTAAATCCATGTTGATCATTTTGAACACGACGAATCACATCGTGTTCCAAAGAAGGAACACGAGGGTCGTGTTTAGCTTGATTAACGCAAGACCAAAGTCTGCGTTTTGCTAGTGAAACGCAGTCCTGCGATCTGTGTTCGGATTCTGAAACGCACTCCTGAGAGTTGCGTTCAGTTTGTGAAACGCACTCCTGAGAGTTGCGTTTTGGTTCTGGGACGCACTCTTGAGAGTTGCGTTCAGCCAGCTCAACGCAGGTTTGATGTCTGCGTTTAAATGATAGAACGTACTCCTGAGAGTTGCGTTTGGGTTCTGAAACACACTCCTGAGAGTTGCGTTCTGCCAAATCAACGCAGTTTTGAGATCTGCATTTTGATGTTAGAACGCGCCTCTGAAAGCTGCGTTCTATCTGGGAAACACACACCTGAGGGTTGCGTTTAGCTTGGCTTATGCAGAGCTCATGTTGAGGCTCACAAACGCGGAGTTCGCGTTGATTGGAGGATCGGCTTTTTTGGCGTTTTGCCGAAATCGAGTCTTCTCCTTTAGAGAGGGGACTGTATGAACAGTGCAACCCCCATGGGAGATAGTCTTTAGATGAGTTGGCTACAACTGGAGCTTTAGTCTCCTCGGAAACTCTGATTTTTCTTTAGATGTCGTCGATTATTGAGCAAAACGACATAGTCTTTAGATGACCTCCTCGTACTTGGCTTGATCAAACTCGATAATCAGAGTTTCAACGGTCGTTCCAGTGAGATGAACGTCGGATTGCACCACCACTTCTTCGTCAGAGAAGCTCATCCCCAGCGGAGTCGCCATCTTTTGTTTGTTGGAAATTTACAGTAAAAAGATAATGAAAGAAAAATTTGACTTGTATTCCTCTCAAAATTAATTACAATTTGGATTCCGATTACAAAAGAGAGAAGAATGAATTTGATTCTCCCCTTTGTTTAAAACTGGGTTCTTCACGGTGGCGATGAGATGCCTCCCTCGAATGCTCGCATCGAGTTTGCTTCTCGTTGACGATCCGAACGTCTTGATTCACTGGAACGATGTCTTCTCCTCACGATTTGACGCTGTGGAGAACTTGCGTGGCAAGTCTAAAACTCTTGATGAGTTGATAACTCTGATCGAGTTTGAAACTCTTGAAAAAGAGTTGATTTGAACCGAGAATCGGTTCTCA